AACAGAATTCTAAAGTTTATATACATCTAACATTACCCTTCGCTTATTGGAGATGTATCTTCCATGAAAATTGTAAGCAATGTTTCACAAGATTTCACCTCAATATAGTTTATCTTGTGTTATACGTCCCTCACTACAAACTAATATCTAGATAACGAAGCACCGTCTTACACTCCTTTAGAAAAGATAAATGACATATATATGAAGTAAGCTAGCCAATATGAACAACAAAATGAAGCTAGCATATTCATATGAATATATGATCCCCCACTTAGTAACTAATCAAAAATGCCATGGGTGAATTTGAATATGTTTTTACTAATAGGCATTGTAATGTTAGTAACAAGTACGACTATAACAGACAGACGTTTATACAAATACTACCACAATACCCACAAAAAGTTGAGCAACGGGCTCACCGGAATTCCACCAGCAAAACTTGCCAAGTAGTATAGTAATTGCTTTGTGAACTGCTCTTGATCCTTGTCTTCCATGAATCCGAAGCCACAACAATAAAGCACCCTCATTTCAGCAATTTACACATAATTTGGAGAATGCAGGAAATAATTAAATATCAACAAGAAAGCAATCGAAACGAAACCAAGAAAGAGCTGAAGGTAAATGTACTGGCTAACGCGTTAAAAAAATCTCGTCCGAGGAAATTGAAGCCGACGCTGATTCCAGTGGTCCCCAGCGTGAGAGCAAAAACCGCCGCCAGTCTCCACCGCGCCCCAACCTTATCATCGGAAAACCAGTACGGCTCAGCCACTTTCCAGAACCTTCTCACCAACGATTGAACATCAGGAACCTTCTTCCGATCATCCTCCTACATACACGAAGCGATAATGCGGCACACTAATATCTCAGAAAACCACTGAAGTAAAACTATAAAATAAAAAGGAAACAGAAAAGAAAAACCTGATCAATTTGCGGCGAAGCCAATGAGGAACGACAGATAAAAGCAGAAACACCGGTATGTTTACAGTTTATCCTCCGAGTGTCGAAGGAAAATGAGTACTTAATCGGTGTTTTGAAGAAGCACAGCTTGTGCTGCTTGAAAATGCTGCCATGGCCATGGGACTGTGAACTGCTGAGATACTGGCTCACGGTACTTGACGAAGCTTGAGATTTACAGAAAAATTGAGGCGGCAGGTAAGCTGGGGACTCGATTGCTATCATTTTGATCGGCCCTACGATGATCGGAATCCGCTCATCCGTCGGAATTTACAGCTTCCGGCCTCTGGTTTTATGGGAGGACTTCAGAAAAATGCTTTCAATCCGCGAATTATCATGATCGAGTCAAATCCAGGAAAAATCCGTAGCTGAGGAAATGCCACGTCATCAGAAATATGGATTGGCAATTTGAGGAAGAATAAAGAAGTTCGTCTTTTTGTTAATTATGGTAAATTTTAAAAAAAAAATGATATAGTTAGTTATTTTTAAAATAAAATAAATAAAATTGATTTGATATAAAAATATGAAAAAATGATATTAGTAAAAATTAGTTAAAATTATGCGAATAGATGAATAGTGAATTACAGTTGTAATATGTAAAAATGATTGATTGATATAATATAATTATATTGATAATAGTGGAGATAGTGAGATTGGATTTGAGTTAGATTTTGAGTATGAGTTGAGTATGGATTTAGTTTATTTATAAACAAACACACTCTTGAACTTTTATCCAGCCAAGTCAAGCTTCGAGTCAATTAAATAATTTCGAGTTCCATTTTTTTATCACGATAAATAAATCAATTTAATGAGACAGGTTAAGATAATATAGTTCAAGTAATTACGTAAACCCTTTGCTTCTCGAACTTTAACGAGGTCTTGGAGGTTGGGTTTGAAGCATTTGTTTTGTGGTGTTTGTGAACGATCAGTAAAATGACTAAGAAATTAGAAAGAAAATCGAGTGAAAGAATCGAAACCGAGACAAGAAAATTTACATCCCCCTTCCCTTTATTATATATTAATTCATAACGTGCTGAGCCTAAGTGGCAGACTCGCATACTTCGGGATCCAATGTGGCAAAATTACATGCTTCGTTATTAGCCTTGTGTAGATTTTAATTTACTTCCAATCCAAAAATAATTAGATCTGAATTATCCATAAATATGTTGATTATTTATGGTCATGTTATATGTATTAATTACATTTTAATATCATTTCTTATTATAACTATTTAATTGTAAATGTATTTTAAAAGTTAATAACTTTTGTATTTTTTTAGTTTTACATATATAATATATCAAATTAATCATCTCTTGATAAGCTTCGATTTAGCATCCATATTGTATGTATAAAAAATAAATTATTTTTATCTTTATAACGATAATAAATTATTTATTTGATATTAATTAGAAAAATAAAATTATTTATCAATTAATATATTTATATTTCAAGTGTTATATGATATAAGTTGTTACAATTACTATAATATAACACATGTAAGTCGCACAAGTAACATGTGTCATTCTAAAATATATAATAATATGTTTTTTTGTAAAAAGTAAATAAAATTTAAAATAATTTTTCTCATTAATTTTATAAATTAAAAATAATTTTTTAACAAGCACCCGGGTAATACACGGATGTTGTACTAGTTCTTTAAAACGGAATAATTATCGTACATTACCCACGGTACACAGCTAATACCTCAAAGATACAATAACTTTCGACTTGTGTATGATCGGTAAATCAAATATACAAAATTTCAAGAAACAAGACACTTGTTTAGTTGGTAGCAATCTTTACTTGGGACCAATAGGTCTTGAGTTTGAGTCATACAGGGGTAAGTGGAGAACCACTACTGATCTATGTTGTAGCAAATTATATTTTTACCGAGTACCGAATCAAAAGATTCGTTCCCGGGGTCGATCTCTCGAGGAAGACTGTTCGGAATCTAGAATTGATATTGAAATCACAAGAAAGGAAAATAACTCCTAAACACTCTAATCAAGATGGTAAAGATTGATTATTAACTAAAAATAGTATAAAAGCAACTAAAAAGATAAATGAAAAATGCGAAAGATATTAGGGAATCGGAAATAAACGTTTTGAATCGAAATGCAATTATCAGCTAGTTATCATTCGGTTAAAAGGCTCGATTAATTAACTCATTTAGCGGTTTAACCTCAATACGTCTCCGAACATGTTGATAAACATAAAGGAGTGAATTAACGAAACAATTAACACATAACAATATGTCTCCGAACATGTCTATTTTGTATGAGTCTCGATCAATTGACCTTTCCCCTTTCGGTTCAAGAGTCGATTAAAATAGACTATAGGATTGTCGTTCGTCTAGTCTATTCGGATAGTGATCGTCACAGTAGAACACATCATATTCAATTTGAAAACAAGTTAAACATTGAAGTGTCACTCTTCAATTTTTAAAAATCAATTGCAAGGTTGAATTGTCACTTTTCAACAATATGTCATTCCAAAGAGAAAATCAAAAACCGAATTTAAAACTAACTCATACAAAGTGAACAATCAACGAGCACGATAAGTACATACGAAATCAAATATTCATTCCCTATCCCTAGTAATAAGAATTAGCTAAGCATATTGAATTCAACACAACATAACATTTCTCCTAAATTAATTATTTTTCATGAATTAATTAAAGAGAGAACTTACAATTAATCTCAATGTTGAATCCAATTACGGAGCTTCATCCACAAGACCAAAAGAAAAATACAAGAAGAAGAAGGAGGAGGAGAGGTAAAAGAGAGGAAGAACCTCTCTATGGAGTTGTTCTCTTCTTAGTCCAAAACCATGCCATATTTATAGGTGAATTGTCCATCTTTTTCCCTCACCATTCAAGCCACAAAACATGGAGGAGAATATGGAGAAAGGTGCTCAAAAACATGGTGGTGAAAGTTGCTCAAAACATGGAGAAAAGTGGAAGAAAATGAGGAAAAGCCACAATTTCAACAACTCACAGGTTCCGCTGCCCGTGACGAATCTCGCTGGCCGTGACGAAGAGCTCCACGGCCGCGACTTTTCTAGGCAGAAAATGACTCGCTGCCCGCGGTGAAGAAAACTGGACTGCATTGCGCGGCTTTACGTTTTAGGCTCGTTTGAACTCGTCCAAACTCGGAATTGAGTTCCGTTTTTTCCTACATGTAGCCAACGAAGCCCTCTACGTATTTGTGTTCTCAAATACAACTTCTTCTTCAAAAATTATTCACCCAGAGCTTTTGACTTCAAGTTGACGGCTTCCGTGCACGAATTCGCATATTGGGCCCGTCCGGACTCCTCCGAACTCGAAATTGGATTCCGCTTTTTCCTATGTGTAGCTAAGAAATCCATCTATCTAACCATGATTTTCCAACCCGTTTTTGAGCTAAATCGATTCCTCACGGGGCTTCCGACCTGCACACTAAAAACAAGAAGAAAAACGTAAAAAAACAACAAAATACACGAAAAACACATAAAAAGCCAAAATAGAACAAAACACACAATAAACTATAAAATAAACTAAAAACTAACAAATAGACCTAAAACGGGGGGAAATGAACGACAAAATAGTACAGAAAAACGTAACAAAAATGGTCACAACAACTCCCCCACACTTAAACCTTTGTTCGTCCCGAACAAAGAGAAAAGAAAACAAAACAAGAACATGGGTACGGTTTCAAATAAGACATGTCTCAAAATGATTAACTCAATCGGGTCGAATTCCAACGACCATACGACCATGTGCCTCAAATATCGACTTGGCCTTAAAATGACAAACTCTCAACACATAGGTCATTATATATGCCTCACTCATTTTCTTATATAAATATGTGATGGGTTTGCTCAAAATTGGTCGATATTCACGTTTCAACATATGCTTGTCAATCGTCTAAATTACTTGGAATCAATCAAAGCTCAAAATTTTTTAATCAAGAGGACTTCTAGGGTTGTAATTTGGGCTGTAGGTAAATGTACGGATATATATATAGACAAGAAGCTCAAATGAACAATCAAAATTCTCAAGTAACAGAATACTCGAATGTCCGCCACTCGACCAAAATCAACAAGATAGCATACATACCATCCACCAATGTCTCCACAAACAACAAATAAATGCTTCAATAATGCTTGACTTATTACACATGTTTTTTATTATTATTTTTTTTTTATTTAGAGAGTTACTATTTCCGAACAAGCTCGAATCGTAAGGACAATATGCCTTAGGTTTAAACATTGGAGGTCATCCAAGTGTCCTAAAGTGGTTTCTCAATACTCATTACTCGTTAAAATGAATAGCAAGTAAGCGGAGTAGAATCCAATCGATTCGTCTTGGAGCTCTCATGTAGTATTTTTTATTTTTTTTTTAATTGTCAAGCATAAAATGTAACTCGATTTTTACCTCATTCAATAACGACTCCGTCTTTACCGATCATCACACGGATCAATCAACAAAATACATTATAAGTACGGCTGAGAAGAAACGGCTCAAGGCTCAAACGGGCTACTAGGGAATATAATTTTAGGACCAAAGAACAAGACAAAACAAGCTAACAAACAAAATGCTTCAATCATTTTCGAAATTTCAAACTTTAACCGATTCTTTTAAAATAAACTCAAGGCAAGTTCTAATCATTCGAAAATACGACCAATATCTCTCAAGAAAGAAAAGTAAGGATCAAAACCTCACAAGGTAAATAAATGTCACTTAAAGCAGTCAAGTAAATATCGAGGCAATGTAATTACGTCCATCATCACAACTTCCCAATTTCATCAAACAATTATCAACAAATCATATAATTAACCAATACCACATGCTCGACAACACAACAACCTAGATACTAGACCGGTTCACCATATAAGTATGACTCCCCCACACTTAAAATGAAGCAATGCCTTCATTGCTTCCACACATAACCGGGAAGTCAAATATCAAAACTTAGGAATTGTACCAATTTAGCATCTAACACAATAACACAAAACTCAACAGAAACCAAAAGAAAAAGAGAAAAGAGTGTGCAAAACGAAGATGCGTCGATGAGGATAAGTGTTCACGTGCAATTCTTTCGCCCACGCTCAACCCGGGACTTTTATCTTCTTCGTTCCGCTCAATCGTCAAGCTACAAGCTCGTCCCTGGCAAGAAAATCACAAAACTCCAAAACTCCTATTATTCAAAAAATATTATAAAATAAAGAGTATAAACGAAACACACAAGAAAGCAGTAAATCACTTGGGTTGCCTCCCAAGAAGCGCTTGTTTAACGTCATTAGCTTGACGAAACCTGTGGGGAACTCAGCCGGGATCCAGAAAGAAATGTCGATCATGTCACGCCTTCGTACTCTCGAGAAGCAGCAGCACGGGAAGGGTGGCATGATTGCGGACCTGGTGGGCTC